TCCCATTACTCTGTTTTATTTTCTCCACAGCACGTGAAGTTCTGTTTACCAACCAGCACGTGAAGTTGGTGTTTACCAACCAAGCTGCACGAGGACAGGGACTCCACCTGCCTTGTACACCAATACCTCCCTGTACCTACAGCACTGCTGGATAGGCCGTGTGTGCTTTACCACTGTTTACTGAATAAATCATCTCCACGGAGCAACTCATAATCAGCTTCCATATGCAACACCCAAAAGGTCAATCTCTGCATGTTGAGATCACACCTTGTATAGGAGTTCATGGTTACAGACACTCCAGAGGACAGTCTGTAACCACCTCCTGGCTGAAAAGGCAAATGGCTCACACTAGAAATCCAATTGGCCACCCAGGACTTCCTGGGCACTTTCTTTGCACTAATCTTCCTCACCCTGGTCTCAGGTCAGATGGTGCAGTACACTCAGGGGCCTTTCCTGTGGGTTTATAAATAAATCTGGACTCATTGTTGATCTTAGACTGGCCTACATAGCATCTTGCCCTCCCTGTGCTCGGTTAGTGGGACTGCTCCCAATGCGATTGGTAAACAGTCATGCAGAGAACCGCCCAGAACAACCACCTGAGTCTAAGTGATCACACAAACACTGCATATTTAAGATCCTCTCTCAGATCCTGCCCCGCACTCTACAGAAGCAGCCAGAGTTTAGGAATTGTTCATTCCTACTAAAATGACTCTGGCTTATTTTTCTTGTAAGTCCTTTCATTCACGTGGATACTTAAATGTTAGACCGTCTACAACTCTTGATGAGGCATGAAGTGCTTCATAAGCTACAAAGTGCTGCTTACTCAAGAGGCATTATTGTTAAACGCAAGCAATTGACATATTTACCAGTATTCCACATCTGAGATCATTGGAAACAAATTGTTCAAAACAGTATTTGAGATTTTTCCATTATTAAAGAATTTACATTAAAACCTCTTTATGGATAGAGCTTTAATTTGTTTGTATATTGAACACAGAACAGGGATCCCAAGACTTCTGTTTACGAGACCTGAATTCATATTTGATAATGCAGAATCATGGAGCTCAATGATTAAAGAACACATATGCAGATTGATTAAAGACAATGATTAAAGAACACATTTATTACAGACAGCAGAAAGGAAAGAACCATCTGTACAGTGGGTAGCCAACACAAGGTTGGCTAAGGTTGCAAAGATTCGTGACATAGTTAGGATAAATGCAATGGTTTGCATTTTATTCAGTAAATCCTTGAGTTTAGGATTGGGTCATTCATTACAGTTCAAACCTCTTGCTTTGGAGCAAACCTCCCAAACCTCTCTAATGAGGAAGCAGTGAGGTAATTAACTTCTGTGGCTTGATGTGGGGCCAGAATAACAGAATGGTCAGAAGCAGAGTTCGAGATGCAGATGGTTTGGGGTTGGGGGTCTTGGTTCTCTCACCTCTGGCTGTATCACTACAGTGAGTTCCTATATGAACTTGGGTACTTTACTTAATTCCTCTGAACCTACATTTCCTCATCTATGAAACAGAAACACTTCATGAACGTGTTAGAACAGATTAAATTTCCTAACGCAAGCACAGTACACTTAGCACAGTACACTTCAATCCCAGATATTAGCATTTATAAATAACAAGGAGTTCAGAAGGCATTTTCTGACCTCTGTTTTCAAGAATTAAAAGAATTTCTTCAAGGGACAGCAGAACTGGGATGGGATGTAAGGCTGCTTGAATTAATACCAAAAGATTATGAAATTAGTAGCATGTAGATCTCTGCACTCAGGCATGGCCAGGTAATTCCTATTTATTAGCAGCAAGTTGAGAAACACCTTCCACTTCAGTTGGAGACATTCACAGGTGAATGTCAAGTTCCATGAAATACCACAGAAGTCCACCAGAGGAAAAACACATTTCTTAAACCAGACTTCACACATACAAATTTGCCATGGATATTGTTGCAGTTTTTGAAAATAATCCTCCCATTCGACTAAGGGAGCCACAGCTTCCTTACCTCACAGAAATACCTACTCCTGGCTTCTTGATGTTTATAACAATGTCTTGGATTTATAGAACCTCAGCCCACTTTTTAAAATATTCACGCCTTCTCGTGTGATATGCAAAACAGATGGTGTGGATGCCATTTCTGTTTCTTTTTTTTTTGAGACGGAGCCTCAAGCTATCTCCCTGGGTAGAGTGGCGTGGCTTCACAGCTCACAGCAACCTCCAACTTCTGGGCTCAAGCGAGTCGCCTGCCTCCGCCTCCCAAGTAGCTGAGACCACAGGTGCCCGCCACAATGCTTGGCTATTTTTTGGTTGCAGCCATCATTGTTGTTTGGCGGGTCCGGGCTGGGGATTTGAACTCGCCACCTTAGGTGTATGTGGCTGGCACCTTAGCCACTTGAGCCACAGGCGCCGAGCCCCATTTCTGTTTCTTTGTTTTAACCCAGGAAGAGTATGGGTTATGCTTAACCAGAGAGGTTAAGCAACTTGTTCAAAGGTCACAGAGCTATTCAGCAGCCAGAGTAACAAGACGGTGGGAACACTTAGTTCAGCGAGCTTCCCAGGGCTTCTCAGACCATTGTGTGCATGTGAAACTCTGGGGAGCTTGTTACAGTGCAGCTTCTAAATAGATTCTGGGTATCAAAAGTTCCCAGAAGTTTCTGCTGATGGTAGTTCTTGGCTCACCTTTCACTATACCCTTCACGACACCCTGGGCTTGTCCTCCCTGATACTTCCCCCATCTGTAATTGTACCATTCAATATTCATTCATTTCCCCCACCCCCATTATAAACTCTATGAGAACAAAAACTGTGCTTTTTTCTCTTTTTTTTTGTTAACAACTTTGACCTGACTGCCCAGTATCTTGTCTGGCAAAAAAAGAAACTAAGTGAACATTTTTGAAGAGTAAGGGAAACGTGACCTATTTCCGATTATAAAGCCACAGCACTTGCATGTTAAAACTTTAATTACTTGAAAAAAGGATGAAAAAAACGTTCATCACATGCCTTTTCTTCTCTCGAGTCACATTATGATACCTAGTTGTAATTGCCAGCTCCCAAAATAATGTAAGTAAAAGAAGCCCTGTGTGGTCAACCAGTGTAGACCTATGTCTCTAACAGAGCTGTGCCCAGGTTCCAGTGGGACACAATGACATCCTCGGGCCAATGGGATGGGTCAGTATGGTGTCATTCTAGGGTAGAATAGGCAAAGTGATCAAAGCTCATGAACACTGAGTTTGAAGGAGGCTGCATCATTTCTGCGCCACCTGAGGATAATGACAGCAACCTACCATCAGTTGAGGGTTTTCCATATGCCAGGTGCCATGCTAAGCACTTTGCACCAGTTAATCCATTTCATTCTACAAACCTATGAGATAGGCTCTCATTTGATCAGTAAAGACGCTGAAACAGGGTTATCAGGCTATAGGAAGGGAGGCCAGGGCTTGGCAGTCTTGTTTTAGAGTTGATGCTTCTAATCCTATTACTTGCTGTCTAGAAGCTTTCAGAGAAAAGAAACAATTGTCTGAAGATGGGACTGACTTGACTCATCTGCCAGTAACTTGATAATCATCTCTGACAAACCCCAAATAGAGGAGGTTGGGAGAAACATATCACATTAACAGGAAGCGATCATTATACCCCAAAAGAAGGGTCTGAAAACATGGCGTGGGAAAAGAATAGGACGTCCTGTTAAAGTTTTCAGTTAATGCTCAGTCTGACGCTATTTGGTTTATGGTTAAATATACAACACCACTGAAAGGTGAAATACAAGCCGGTTAAGGGTTATGTCACAAAGGTCCTCATTCCTTTCACACTTCATTAGGTGTCTTATGAAACCTCGCATTAATGATTGGGCCAAAACTAAGAAGAAAGGTATCACATGGAAGAAATCAGAATTTTGCTAAGATGTGCGTCCAATGGGAAATCTCAAAAAGTCTAAAGGTCAGAGAGATCTTGTTTTTCCAAAGCTTGAAAAACAGAAGTTCAACAGTTATATTTTAACACGACTGCCTGGCAATGAGGGAATTAAGAAAACAGGGGAAGAGAATACTTGGTCAAATGGGACACAGGAAAAGGGTAGACTTGATCTTTTTCTTGACAAAAGATGTTTCAGTGTGGAATAAGAAAATAAACAGCAGCAATACTAAATACTGCAATAGGGACTTGAATAAAGCGGTATTGTCAGAAAAATAATTAGTTGAGTTCCACAGATTGGTGTTTAACTACACTTGTCTTGTTAAGGTATTATTACTTACCTTTGGAAGCAACATGATCCTATAGATTATAGAGGCTCAAAACCTGGTTCTGCCTCTTCCTTGTTATGGCCTCAAGCTGCTATAATTCCTCCAAAATTCAGTTCATTCTCCTGTAAAATTCGGACAACTAACGCCTTCCTTCTAGGATTATTATAAACCTTACATTAAATAATATACAGCGAGAATTTAGTCCAAAATAGGAAATCAACACAAGTTACACTTTATTTTCCCTCCTCTCCTCCAAGTTGTGTTTTCCTAAATGAATGTCTTTTAAGTATTCCTTCCAAACACTGAGTCTTCATAGGTAGAAATATTTCTCACTTACTTAATTGCCCAGCCTTAAGAAAAACAATCTACCTGCAAAGAGATGAAATATTTGTATAAGAAAATGGGTATAAACTATTGTCGTATTGTATGTAAAGATCATGCTCCCAGGACAGTAGTAAGCTTGGTATTTTAAAAATAGAATGATACAAAATCTCACAGAGGTACACATCCTTAAAAAAATTAACTTCACACATAATTTCACCTATAAATTTTAGTCAAATACCAAATAACTATGTTAAAAATAAAGATGTTGGAAGGGTCTAAAGCATAGGTATTTTGGGGAAAAAAAATTCCATTTCAATTTCTGCAAATGTTTTATAAACCATAAAGTATGAAACAATGCACAATGTTGTTTTTATTGTAACGTCCTGTTGGTTTCTAGAATAAATTGGCAATGTCATTAAATTAAAATCACGCAACATATTAAAATGCAAATTTTTATTCACTGAAATTCGATTTGAAATTTGCATATGAAGCGAAGAAACTTTCTAAGAAGTTATAACAACATACATAATAGACATTAAGTCAACAAAGATCACAAACAAAATTTTTAGAAGTCTTCCCACAATTTCATCTTCCAGACTTTGGGGAGTAGTGGTGGCAATTAATATCCAGTTTTTACCAGTCATATCCGGAGTACTCTTGTTCCCTAGGAAAAAGAAAAGAAAAGTAGCCTCAAATGAACACATTGATAATCTTGATTCTTTCGATTTAATCTAATACATGGCGAACATGAAGTTTGTGTGCAATTTAAAATAGTTGTATTTGGGCTCGGCGCCTATAGCTCAACCGGCTAAGGCGCCAGCCACGTACACCTAGGGTGGCGGGTTTGAATCCCCAGCCCGGACCCGCCAAACA